CTGAGTCAGGGCAGGAGGGTGTAAGGCCGATTTCAGAGAAATCTTTACGACATCATACAGGAAAACGCTTGTCGCAAGAGAAGTCGGAGGGTGCCGCAGATGCACCGGTTGCCACAGATTCTCGTTCACTAGAAGAGCAGTCGAAGATGAAAAAGCGTCGGCGACATAGATCCCGGTCCCATGGTTCCGAGCACGCTAAGCGCTCTGCTCGACATCGAAGTCCGCCTCGTCGTCATCGCCATCGCCATCGAAGCTCGAGTGAAACCGACGAGGACAGCGTTGTTGACAAAACGGAGCCCACGAAAATGAAAAGCCGGGAACGGGACCGCGATGACTTCGTTCCGGCGAAGGTTAAGGAAAAAACCCATGACGATGACGATGAAGCCAGCTGTTCACGAAGACGACCAAAACGGCCCTATCAAGAACCGGAGAAGTACGGAACGTACGAACGGAATAAGCATGATGACAAGTAAATCGGTTAAACTAGTTTGTAAATTCATTTTATAACACCTTGAAAATGGTGATGTAATTATGTTTAGCAATACATTACGTAAAATGCCATCGCCATACTGAGGTTGTGCGTCTAGATACGTTTGTACATCCAGCTTACGTCTGAAATTGTAATTGGTGTGATCATCGTTTAAGGTTTGTAAGGCTTTAATAATGGAGTAGATTTATGATGCCAACATTTATCATGACAGCCAAGATTTATACTTGAAGGTTAGAAATGGCTTCTTAGATTAATTAGTGACACAGTTCACAGTTGTGACAGAAGTAGTATATTCCTTGTAGTCACATCTGTAGAGTCTGTATGCAGATTAGTCTTAAAAGAACACAAGGTCTGTGATCAACAGTTTACTAATCTTTCGCAATTCATAACTACCTTAGCTCTTAGGGCGAATAAATTCGATCGAACACCGTCCTTGCATGCGATCCTTTACCTTAGTCATTGGTTACAGCGGGTCATTTGACGTATGTCATACTATTTTGTATAAGACAAAAGGTTGATATCGCCAAATTATATGAAATTCTGGTAAATTTCTGCTTGTTGTACAAGTATGTTTGAAGGAGGCACGTGGTCGGCCACATGCCCTTGTATACTTTCAGCGCTTAGCAGGCTTGAGTAGAGAAATATACGTGAATTTTAAAATTATAAAATGTTTTGCTCTTCATTATATAATGGAAACCGTTCGTTTTCCTCCGCTTTCTACGTCGGTGTTTGTTGGGGTTCTGACTTTAAGTTGCTTATGAATTGCCCATAGTGTTTTTGCTTGCATTGCATTAGACAACGGTTCTGGGGTAGAAATTGAAAAACCAGACCAGCAGAGGATTAGGCTATAAATAAGCAAAGCAAATGTCGTGACTCTCTGATAACGAGCTTTGTTATGGTATTTGAAAATTGGCTTAATTTAGTAAAGGTTTGTAACACCTAAAT